TTACAGCCTTCTCCCTTGGGGAAAAATAATGGGTTCGCTAAGTGCTTATATACCAGTGGCTGTTGCTTTCATAACAGTGCTTCCGTGAATGCCCCGTGCTCCTTTTCCTGTTGTCTGTTACTGTTGCTCTGTGCGTGCAGTAATCCTATATTGTAAGCCTGCAGAGATGGATGGCTGGAAAATATTACTCTAGAAGAAAGAGCTAGTGAGGAATGGTCCAAACTGGTGAGCAAGGATCCGCTTTAATATGTAAGCAGCCCAGAAACTCATTCTTGGGCACAGCTGAGACCTGAAACTTTGTAAGAAACCTATGACTGGAGGCTAACTTTGATGCAGAAACAATGAAAATATACTCTTTAGTGACAGGACAGGGAGATGGTGTGGCCTGTAATGGCTTCCAGGATATCAGTCAACATCAAGGCCACACAGCTAACAGCCTAGAACCTAAAGTGGAAAAGATGCTTTTGATCACAGGATTATCCTTCATATTAGCTAGTGGACATGCTTAAGCAATGCTTAGGCAGCCTGACTTTAAAACAATAAATGAAGGGTCAAAGGCCCTACTGGGGGCCTTTCAGAGCTGCCATTCCACCCTTGGCCAGATTTAACTTTTTCTTATGATAAAGTAACGTTTGAATTCACTAGTTGAATCCAGTCATTTCATTAATTTCCCTTTCTCTATAGCTGGGAAGTTCTAAACTTATTATAGCTGTACCGGGTTGCAGGATCTGGGTCAGCCCCAGGATACAGTGGCTAAAGAACTTTAATTTAAACCCCAAATTCAAACCTTTAGGGTTGACCACTTTCCTCTGCCTGATGCAAGCTGCCCTGCCCATGGGTACGCAATCCTTCTTCCTGCCCACCTAAATATTTTCCATCTGTCCAGCCTTTCATGACAACCTCCCAGACCAATGGGAGTCCATCCCACTGTCTCAGCCCTACCTCAAAAGGTCTGTTTAGCTGCAGAGTCACCACCCTCACTACCACACCCATCAACAAATGTCAGTACTCAACATGTACGATTCCAAACCCCAAAAAGGGATTATTGGAGATGTTTTGTCCAACATTAAGTTTTCAGTGTATTATGTGTTAGATAGCGACACCTTCTGGTGAAGCTTCACATTATCATGTTGACTACGGGCTCCGTGAGCACATTGCAATCAAAATAAAAAAGAATGAAGCAAAAAAGAGGGGAGGATAAAGAGAAGAAAATGTTGGTAGCTTTTCCTCTGCTAGCAGAAGAATCCTCACACATATAGGAGCTTTGCTTTAGGAAAGGATAAAAAGACAGATCTTTCAAAGAGTTTTTGCTGGATAGATAGAAAAATGGGCCAGTAGCTGGAAGGGAAGTGGTATCAAGAGAGAATCTCTTAAACAGAAGAGGAAAATAGCAGCACTTTGGTAGGCTGATAGGAATAACCCCGTAGAGAGAGGAAGGATAATGGTGCAGGTGACTGAAAGGGGAGTTTCAGGAAGAACGTCCTCGAAAGGTGAGAAGGCCAGGATCCAGTGCAGGAGGAAAAGAATTGGCCTCACGTGGGAGCACAGACTGCCTGTCACATAGTAGGAGGAGGGAAAGCAGAGCATCTGAGCATGGATGCAGCCAGCGAGCAGATGCAATACTGGAAACTGGTAAAGTTCTCTTCTGGCTCCTCTTGTCCTTAATAAAATTTGAGGCAAGGTCATTGGCTGAAAGTAAGAATTGGCAAGAAATGCAGAAAATCTGAGAAAAGTTGTGTGCAGTTCTACAAGACAGTGTGAAACTCAATGGACCAGGGAAGTGTAGTGTAATATTATTCAAGGATCATAAATTTAAACAGAGTCCTCTTGGTGGGAATTTTTCTCCAGCTATGTTCAACTACAATGGTGCAGGTATGGAGTAGGCAAAGGGTTGGGTTTAACCATGGCTGTGGTTTTGCCTGTCAAGGACAATAATTGAAGGGCCAGGGAGTCGAGGGCTTATCATCCTAAAAAGCTGGGCAGTATTAATATTCTCGCCCATGTTTTTAATTGGTTTCATTTATATTTATTTACTTGTGGACAAATTAAAAGGTTCTGGGGATGCTGACTAACTGAAATACATGTTATGCCTAAATCATTTTCTTACTGTTCTTTTGACTTTCATTCAGAAAAGAATTTTTGTCTTTTCACTTAAGTATTATCTTTAATAAGATGGCTATGTCCAAAGCCTCTGATACTAGATACTACAGAAGGGAGTAGAAATTTAAAAGAGAGTTTGCAATAATGTAGGTGCACAGAAAATATGAAGCTATTTTTCATGGTCTAGTGGTTTTTTAAATGAATCTCACTTATATATTGTAAAAAAAATTATTTCCATAGGCTCTTTTCATTAATTCACTTAATGAATATGTATTACATATTTGTCATGTACAAAACGTTGTGCTAGCCAAGCACCAAGAAAATGTGGGAGAGGGCAGGATTACCATAATGAGGTATTTGTGGTTTAAAAGTGGTGTTTGCAAATACAAAGATACTTACAGCCCAAAGGGATAAACTCCTGTGCAAGTGCTACAACACAAGTTCCATGACATTTGTTCATCTAATTTGCCGTGATATGACTACTGTACTGGGCCTGAAACACAGCAGGCACATAATGAACGTGGTGAATCAGTAAAAAGAGATAGGAGCCACACTAGAGAAGCAGGATGGAGCAATGAATGAATTTTGAACTGTAAAAGCTTAGAAGAGAAGAGAAGGCTTAGCAGCTGGCCTTTGAAGGAAAAGTGGGGCCCCACAAATGAGGAAGGGCGAGTAGAGCCTTCAAGCATGAAATAACAAGCAAGCACCAGACGAGAGGAGCCCTGCAGCAAAGCACAGGACAACTTAGGGCATGCGCAGTCTAGTCTGTGGGCAGAGAAGTATCAGGAAACGGCGTATCAGAAAGAGAGAGAGATGCCAGGAAGTGAACGCATGGATTATCAGATAAAGGAGTTCTTATTGAGCACTTACACTGTGTCTAACACAGTTTTAGGTGTTGCACATGCACTAACTCATTTAATATCACAGGAACCTGTTAGAGAGGCATCTTTATCCTCCATTACACAGGTGAGGAAACTGGGTGCAGAGAGATGGAGTACCTCCAAGTTTCACAGCTAGCAAGTCCCAAGGCCAGGGCCCCAGGTAACACCGGCACTACTAAAACATTTTCCATATCTGCACGACCTGTGATTTGTGTTGCTACTACTTTCTTCACAACTAATGAACAAATTAAAGTTAGAAAGTAATCACCATGAGTATTAGCTGTTTATTTATATTTAGAAATTCTGACTAGTCAAATGCATTAATTTCCATTTTTGTCTTTTCCTCATTCAATGCTATTACTATTTCCTAAAGCTATTGGCTTAAGGATTGTTTTCCTGATGATTAATCTACAATATAATAGAATACAATTGCATTTATTTGTGTTCAAATTTATAATCTATTTAACTAAAATTATCTAATATGCTTGACCTCTGAAAAAGGTAGGGTTTTGTTTTATTTTGGGGTTTTTTTTCTGAAATCATTTTGCCCTTCTCTTCCCTTTCTAAGTTGAACTTCACCCAGAGACAATTGTTGATGGCAGCCAACTCACCACCATACAGGTTGTGCTCAAGTTTTGTCATCATCTTAGAGAAATATTGCTACCTCAAAATTTTTCCCAATCTTCTATTAAATATGCTCCCTTTTGCCCTGGCTGGTATAGCTCAGTGGGTTGAGCACGGGCCTATGAATGAAGGGGTCGCTGGTTCAATTCCCAGTCAGGGCACATGCCTGGGTTGTGGACCAGGTCCCCAGTAGGGGAGTGTGAGAGGCAACCACACATGGGTGTTTCTCTTCCTCTCTGTCTATCTCCTTTCTACTCTGTCTAAAAATAAACCAATAAAATCTTTAAAAATATATATGCTGCCTTATAATGGCAGGTCTTTCAACTACCAATCCATTCCCTTTAAACTTTTAGCTCTGTAAACCAATGCTTATGGTCCCAAGGAGCCATAGTGAGTGGTCCCAACTGTTCATTGAGAATTCCTTTCTGAAACAGTGTAATGGATAAAAGGACAGGGATCCAGTGGGAGAGGAGGACCCGAGGTCTGACCACACCTTTAACATGCCCTAATACCTCTAACCCTCAGGCCTCCACTGTGTGTTAAACTGGGAAAATAGCCCCTATTTTACAATATAGCAGAGGTTCTGTGAGAACAATATGAGATAATACACACAGAATAATTCAAAACAAGAAAGTTTTCACTAAATGTAAGTTATAAGTCTAGTGACTTAAAAATGAAGTCTAGACCTAACCCTAACGGACACAGCAAAGCCAGCAGGAAGAAATGGCTTGGGGGGTTAAATTCTCCTCCAGCCTCCTCTCTTTGCCTTCCCCTTAATCTTTCCTCTCACCACCCTGCTTAAAATAAGAAGCTTGCTTTGTAAATGCAACTCTAAGATGTTAAGGCCCTAACTCACTTTCAACCCAATTGACACCCTCTGAGCTCCACCCATATGGAAATCTTAGGACTGCCACTAATAGGCAAGAAGGTTGTTTTGCTGCATTCCCCCGCCCCCCAGGTTTTCAGAAGCACTCCGCTTCATCATCAAGAGTATACCTCTGGGTACCACAATGCTATATCATTCCCCACTTGAATTATAATGTTCATCAAAAGATTTATCTCTGGGGAGGCTTGAGTGCTAAGTGGGGAGTGATTTTTAGAGAGATGTGTGGGAAATGGTTTCAATATTTGGCAGTTCCTAAAGGTAGGATGATTTGAGATGTTGGGGTTTGTTTTTTTAATACTTGATCAGCTCATAATATTCACTTATTTCTGAAAGCGCCTTGTCATTGGAATATTACATTTGGCAGTTGTACTAAAAGTAGAACTTTTATAAACCAGAGGATTATAATGTTTAGTTTATTCCACTCATTTGTTTTATATATGTATATATATATATATATATATATCACATAAATGTACATATTCACTAGGAAATCAATCCTTCTTTTATAGATCTCTCCATTAAAATGGACCGTTCTGAAACTAAGGACATAAGCTATGCCCCAAGAATTGAAACAACTGAAAATACTGCAAAAGTGTACAAAGTGTCAACCATGAGACAAATATTTGATTTGACAAAGCATCGAACAAAAAGATCATCATTTTTCCCAGCTGGGGTTAAAGTCTGTCCCCAGGAATCCATGAAACAGATTTTAGCCAGCCTTCAAGCATATTACAGATTGAGAGGTAAGAAAAGAGATGAAGCCTGTTTAACCTTTCGTTCTTTTCATCCCTGCCTTTTTATTCATCTGTAGGTCACATTCGACCCCAAACTCCCAGCCCCTCATTCAGTCACAAGAGTTATAAAAATCAGCCAACTAATCTGAGGTTAATGAAAAATAAACATTCAAAACAATGACAGGTATTTGCTCTTATGCTTTATAATACTGTCGTGTGTAATACAGAACCATTAGAGCATCTGTCAAGTCATTAGGGAAATCTTGGCATCTGAGTTTTCTCTCTTTTATTTTTACCAAAGTCCAATATTGATTTTAATGTTGTTATTATGAAGCATAGAATGACTGCAACATCAGGAATCTAAACAAGTTGATTTATGACTTAAGATTTTATTTTTCAAAAGCAACATTACAATCTGGATACGCTCTCCCTCCTTGATAAGCTGAAGTTGTTTATTGCTGACTTGGCAAAAACTTCTGAAGCTTGGAGACACATCCAAGTACAGAGGAATCACAAATTAACAGGGTTACCAAGATACAGTGCAGGGTGTTAATGGGATTTATAGCACAATTACTGTGATTTCCAGGGGTGTTAGAGTGCAGTTTTACCCCAGAACAGCATCCCGGAATTCTTACAACATTCCTGGGAGTAATTACAGAGTTCAACTGTACCACAGCCATCAGTGGCTGTGCTTGTCACTCACTTACAATAGACAAAAGAATTTTTGTGGATTATTCTTTAAAGGAAAAAAAAGAATCTTTAGTAGCTGCTATTTAATTCCCCAGATAGCTCCAAATAATGCAAACCGTATTTTCTAGCTGAAGCCCAACCTCAATCCATCTTACATGTGAAAGTTGAGGAGATTTAGTGATTTCTACCTTGATTGTAGTAGATGTTTGCTTTCATTCCAAATGTCAAAGTTAAACTGATCTATTTCAAGCTCATTGTCTAGAGCAAACTGGTTCAATTCTAGCCTGCAATGTGTTTGTTGCACATTACGACAACTGAAAAGCATGTCACGATATATCCCCCCAAACTCCTGAGTGTTTATATCTGGAAAATGTGCAAGGGCTGAACTAATCTGAGGAGTTCTGACTGGGTTTAGAGATATAATAACTAACAGTATCAAAGATATCAAGCCTTATATCCCTTGTATGTCTCATTGTATGCAGATTTTATGTAGAAGTAAAGAGATACTGGCTTTTCGATGGAAGGCACACTGACAGAGAAGTGACAAGAACTGGAGGGATCCTAGTGCAAAGAAAGACTCTAATAGTAGAAAATCAAGTGCTATATATCAATATTCTGAGATCCTAGTACAGCACCTGTGCATAACTGGTTCTCCTAAATGCTTTTTGACGAACACAAAAAGCAAACAGGCCACTGGGAATGCAAAGAAAATAGTGACATGTGTAAATTATTTATTTTTAAATGTGCCTACATGTTGATCTGGCAATGGCAGGAGTAAGTTCCCTTTCATTTGTTCATGGAGGGAAGTATGAACATTTGGTATATGAATCAAATGTGAACACAACTATTGCCAGTCCTTCTCATGTAACTTCTAATCCTTTATGGCATTCACAAATAGGATTCATCGAAAGTATTTAGAGAAAAGACAATTTATTGCTGCCACCAAATTTTTAGCCCTGAATTTTATTATTAGCTCTTTATTTTTTATTAGCTTTGCCTCTTTCATTCTTGCTTCCCTGGATGAATCAAACAACCATTTTCTCCCCACAGCAATGACAGTCCATTATCTTTATGGCTGCCCCTGGGTGATATGAAATTTTACTATTCATCAACATGGGTTTCTCAAGTCTAACAAATTCAGTTCATAAAGAAACTAGAAATAAGATCCGCTATAAAGCAATGTTTCTTTGACAGAGTAATCGTAGCTTATTTTACAAAATTATCCATTGACATCCTTCAAACCTAGGGGAGAAAGCTCCTACATTCCTCAAATCAAATTGAGCTATTTCTTTTCCCAATGCTTAAAGCACCAGAAGTGAAAATGTTCTGAGCTTCGTGGTTGGATCATAAACATGCTCATCACACAGCACAGACACAGAACAGGCAAGTTTGTTTCTGCTAGTGTCCCAGGGGTTGGGGGGGGCACTGTTCCTACCCAGGGAAACATCCACTTTCATGACTGCCTCCCTTCAAACCTTTGGCCCCCGTGTCTCTGCCTCTGTCTCCCTCCCTCCCTTCCTCTACATCCTTCCTTCTCTCTCTTTCTCCTTTTCCCAATCCCTATAACAAAAACTAGATCTTTTTTTCACATTAATGCATGGCTTAGAAAAAGTTAAAGATGGAGGGAGTCCTAATTCTTGCTGCTCCAAACATCCACAGACCAGCAGCATCGCCATCACCAACCAGGTGACTTGTTAGAAGTGCAGATTCTCAGATCCTATGCCAGACCTACTTTCAGAATCTGCATTTTAATAACACCCCCAGGTAATCCACATGCACTTTCACATTCTAGAAACATTGGTCTGAACAACATCTATCTAACACTCCCATTGCACAGATAAGAAGTAAGGTGACATATTCGGTCAAGGCCACTGCTGATGACAGAGCAGTTAGAAGCCAGCATCCTGACTCCCACATCAGTGTGTTATTGCTCCATCTAATGCGTGTCCAACCCTGCGGTGGACATTTCACATACCATCAGTCTGCCTTAATCCTTCCAAATACTCGGTTGACCAAAAAGTTCATTTTTTTTGTAAGGTGGTTCTAGTAGCACTTAGTTGTCTTAAATTCCATTCAAAACAATTTTGTTAGATTGTATTGTGACAGCTAACATTTCAGTGTGCATTCTTTAAAAACTTATTCAAATTGGTGAATTTTTGTGTAGCCATTTTAATATTGAAGATGGAAGAAAATGCAAACCATTTTTGGTGCATTATGCTTTACTATTTCGAGAAAGGTAAAAACACAACTGAAATGCAAAAAAAGATTGGTGCAGTGTGTGAAGAAAGTGCTGTGACCGACTGAACATGTCAAAAGTGGTTTGCAAAGTTTCATGCTGGAGATTTCTCACTGGTCGAGTAGACCAGTTGAGTTGATAGCAATCAAATTGAGACATTAATTGAGAACAATCAATGTTATACCATGCAGCAGGTAGCTGACATGCTCAAAATATCCAAATTAATAAAGTTATTGGTGAAAATGAAAATGTGTCTATTATTTTACAGAAAAAACTAAATGAACTTTTTGGCCAACACCATGTGAAGCACTGTCCAGAGTGTACCTGGCCCCCAGTGTGTGTGTTCCCTGGGGCTCTTTCTACATCTTCAAACAGCAGAGGGTATGACGTTCAGCCAACAAGCTGAGGCTCTGTGGTCAGATTTCAGACAGGGGTTAGCAGCTGTGGGAAGACTGGTAGGCAAGGCTCTGGATTTCTCCAAAATCCTTCTTGCAACCCTTCCCAGTAGATTAAGAGAAGGATGGAGCAGAACACGTAAGTCAAGGGAGTAGAAAATTCCAACTTTCAGAAGTTTTTAGACTCCTCCCAGTCCAAAAAGCCTTTGAGGCCACAAGTTTCAAGGGTCCTTTGGATGCTCTCCTGGTACGGGGCTTTCCTCATGGGTCATGGGCTGGTGCTCTTGTTCTCTGATCACAGAAGGACTCCGTGCCTCCAGGAGGCTGAGAAAATGACATCACCCAAAAAATAGCCCCTCAAAAAGAGTCTAAACAAAAGCTACTAATGCCTGTTTCATCCTAACATTTTGATCCCTACAAACAATCCTCCAGGGAAATAATTCTTCATGCAGCTTCAGGCTTTTGTGCCTTGGGGAGAAGGTTCTCTGAGCCTTTGTGAAAAGTAGGTGTTAATGGTGATGGGGCCATTCTGTGTCCCTGAGTAGAAAAAGGGCAGAAGGCCAAGGAGCAGAGCTAGGAAGGTTCAGGCACCGAAACAAGCCTTAAATTGAACTGAAGCAAAAGGAAGTCCATCTGAAACCAAAAGCAATGCAGGCGAGAGTGCGTTTAACTGTTAAACAAGAATTATCAAGTTTATATCTTCCCAGATGTTTCGCTCATGGATATTGTTAGTGAAAGTCACCAACACTAAGCCCTCAAAGGCAAGGCTCACTTACTTTATATATTGCTGTGTATCTGTCACTTAAATAGGTTTTTAAACTAAACTAGAAGGTTCATTAAGGAAAGATAGAAAGGCAAAATAGCATCCCCCAGGCGAGTGTAGAGTATGTAGGCAAGAAGGATAGCAAGGGCAGTTGGTTTGCTTGGACTGAACCCACAACTCATCAGAGTTTGAACAAATGTAACTTCCTTCTTGCGTGGTATGTAGACTTTTGACTGGAGATGAAGACCAAAAGCCTTCATGATGCCTGGTATCAGGAAAGGCATTAAAACTCCCTGATCCTTGCCTGGCAGGAAAGAGAGCATGCTCACAAACACGGGCTCTCTGGTGAGAGGTTATTATGCTGGTCTCCAGGTGTGCTGACCTCTGCTACTTCCCCAGGTGTGGAACACGAACCGCCCATCTGAAGTGGTGGGGACTGCACCCTCTGCCGGCTCTGGCATTCTGCTCAGGTTGCTGCTGATAAATGACCTGAGCTTCTCTTGGTCTGGAATTCTCTCTGCCTCTTACAACAGAAAGATAAAAGAAATCCAGACATAAAGTAACCGGGAAACAAGGGAGAACAAAGCACAGGAGTAAGGGTCTTTAAACCAGTCTTCTCTCACTTTGGTCTTCCCCACAACCCCTTTTTTAGCACAGTGATCAAACAGTTTCTTTAGAAAATCGAGTGATGTCAGCTTCTGCTTGTACAAAGCCTCCAATTCTTCCCCATTCCTCAAGAGTTTTAAAAAATCAACATAATTGCTTACAATAGAAGTCATCTAATTTTTTTTTCATTTAGCCCCCCCAAATCATTTTTAAACTATGCATGCTTTTGCATACTTTTCAGTTGACATCTAAAGTTTTATCTTAAGTTTAAATACTTGGATATTAACTTTTGGTGAGTTGTAAACATTAATATTGAAAACAAAACAAGAATTAGAGAAGTCATATGGATCTGGTGGAATCTACCACAGCTGCTCAATACTTTCCATCCAATAAGCTAAACAAATAATGAAGGGACTCTTCACAGTAGGAAATGTCACATGGTTCATTTCTCTTCATACATCCACATTTCCATTCTGCTTCCCACTTCAGAGTCTTATCTTAATGGAATTTATTTGAAGCTTCAAAGTCTGTTATTGGTTGCTCTAAAATATATCTCAGTAACAAAAATATGTACATAAATTGAAATCATATTTTTTATTTCTTTTCTGTTACCTATGTGTTCAAAGAAATTTCTTCCAGATTCAGTTGAACTTATAATTACTTTTAATATATAATTGATTAAAACAAGTATATATAAATTTGACAAATAATTTAAGTAAGTCATTGTCAACAGATAGATATAAGACCAGATACAGGTTTCATGGGTACTAATGTTTATAAACAAAAATCAGGAACAATGCTTTGGAAGAGGCCACTTTAAATGAAGTTCTCAAGCTTAAGCTTTATTAGCTTCTGCCTCTGGATAGACAGGGTTGCTTTGTCATGTACCATTGCTTACTATTCATGTTATCTATTGCTGTAATAAGACAGGATTTAGCATCAATTTTATACTTATTCTTTCACCTAGCTTCACTTACATGCTGAGCAAACTTGTTACACAAATAAGTAGATGGGAACAGAGGGAGATGTGTTATAGTATCATCCTTATTCTTTAAGTTTCCTTTGCATTATATGCTATCAAGCACATTATAAGCTGTCATCATTATTTTTAATGATCTATCAGCTGTCTACTCCATTAGGACTCCTAATGTTTTAAAAGCAAAGAAGCAGAAGGCACCCTAATTACAAAAATCCACCCTAAATTCACTTGCTTTCTTAACCTCAAGTCTATTGTTTCAAATCATCCCTTTGTATGGCAGCCTAGGGGAACTGTGCCACTGCAGGATTAGGGATAAATGGACAGGGGAAGAGTGATGATCAAAGGGAGGGTGAAGAAGGAAAGGTGCTCCCTTAGGCAGACCATTGTTAGAAAAGCATGATAGCAAACCTGGGGTCTAGCAATCGATTCTGTTTAAACTGTGCATGTGAATGTCTGTGCCTTGGAGAGTGTTTAGATACAGCCAATACCTCTGCCCAGTTTGAAGACTACTGGTCAGTGAGGCCCTATGTTCTCTGTGCTCCTGTCTCCACAGCTTCATCCTCTGTTACTCTCACCTTTGCTCTGACCACACTGACCTCCTTGCTCCTCCTTCAATGCTTGTAGCATTCTCTAACTTTGGGGTCTTTTCTCAGACTGCTCAAAAGTCAACTTGATAATGAAGCTTTCTTCAACCACTCTATTTTAAATTTCATTCTTACATACACACACACACATGCTTTCTCTCCCATATTCCCTATCTTCCTTCTTTTCTCTTTTGCCATAGCACATACAGGTGCCCAGTAAATAGTTGCTAAGTGAGTTAATTTCTTTGGGCCATAAGTGAATGTGTTAGCAGCATGAGCCATGAAAGAGCCGTCCATGTTATGAGTTGTGCTTGTATTGGGGGAAGGGGATCTTCCATTCTAATGGTGCTGCATTGCAGTGTGTCAGGAAGCAGTGTGGGAAGCATATCGGATCTTCCTGGACCGCATCCCTGACACAGGGGAATACCAGGACTGGGTCAGCCTCTGCCAGCAGGAGACTTTCTGCCTCTTTGACATTGGGAAAAATTTCAGTACCTCCCAGGAACACCTGGATCTTCTTCAACAGGTGAGCCTAAACATTGTATGTTTGGCACACCGCCCGAATAGCTCCCAGACCTCCTGCCCCCACCCCTTTTGGACTTCCAAAGTATAAGAGTTGGTTGAAGAAATGCTTGAAAATATCTGATGACAACAGGGATTTTATTCTTGCAAGCTAACATTGTACATGAGGGTTGAGGTGAAGTTAAAGGGGAAGGGGAATGAAAATAGATTTTAGTTCTTCAATTGACATTATCTCTTGGTAAAATTACTTTTCTATTTCTGCAGAGAATAAAACAGAGTAACTTCCCTGAGAGGTAAGTACCCAAAATAGAGTGATGCGTGCTCTGGATTTTTGAAAGATAACATAATGGAGTGAGACTCAGCTATTATACCTTTATGATAGTGTGCCAGCCACTGAGATCTGTGTAGGTTATTCTGATGGAAAATTTATACTTATATTGTGCTAAACATAAATGAATATATAAAAGGGAAATGGTTAGACCTTATAGATTCAGATATATATTTTACTGTGTTATCAGATAAAAGTATATGATAAGTATCTAATGTGTATTTTCACTTGCAAGGTAAAGAGTTATTAAAATAGTATCATTTCTAGAATTTATGATAAATTATTAGTTACATCAGGAAAATATTTAACACAACAAATGAGCAAGCTGAATTCTTGTTTAGTATTTCATAAAAATGTTAGTATTTCTCATACTAAGTTACTGAAGCACTCAGCTATACACTCAACAAGAACTGAATATCAAACAAGAAAGTCAAAATGTTTTAAAAAAGGAAAAGGAGAAGTACATTAGATAAAATTATTAAAGAAAAGAGATGTCATTGTCAAATTCTAACCTCACAAATTGCATACATCTTATAACATTCAGAAGTCAAAATCTGAAGATAATAATAGCACAAGGAGAGACACAAATTTGGCCATATGAATTACTTGCAATTCTTTTTAATGCTTTTCATATTTACTCCTTTATTTCTACTCCCTTTGCCAACAATTTGGTTCAGAACCTTATTAATTTACACTGTGAAAAAAATGTCAAATCTGATCCCCCTAATAGATAGCACTGGCTCTAACCTCTTTCCCATCTTAACTTTTATAATTGCTGCAGGATTAATATGTCTGACATATTCCTTTTTTTACACTGAACCTTGTTCAATACCTCTCAAAAGATACTGCCCCTTCCTCTTGCCCTTCTGAATCTCCCCTCCCTGTACTTCCTCATGCACTCTGTATAGAAGCCTGGGTGAGACGGAAGCCCTGGCCCGCCATGTCCTCTGACTTCCAGGTAGGGGCAGCCAGTGGGGAGCAGAATATCAGAAGGAGGGGAGAGATTGGAATGAGGTACACAAATCCTCAACTTCCAAGTCTTCGAGGGCTGCTGGTGTCCTTCAACTCCAGCTCAGTTCCTATCAGGCAGCCCTCTCCACAGGGCCTTCTCTGCGTCCAGGTTTTGGTAACGGCTCCATTCTCTTACCCTCCCTGGCCAAAGGGTGCTCTGTTAACAGCCATGGAGTTCTACACACTCACTTGTTGTTGTTCTTAGGCTCTTCCCATAACCTAGTAAATAATCCCTCTAGTGAATTGTATTCAAAGTTTGAGTGAGCCATCAGTGTTCTGCCAGGACCTTCACCGAGGCAGAGCCTAAACTAATTAGTCAAGGCCCTCAGCCCCAGAACTGCCCTGATCTTTGCCATTCATTACCCTGATCTTCCTGCTGCCACATGCCACTTCTTCAGGGCACAGACCACACCCTACTCATCCCGGACTCAACCCCAAGCCTTTTCATCTTGTCTGCAAGAACCTGCTTTCTCTACTCCGTCTCCAAATCCCACTCTCCTTTCAAGCTCCAAAAGGAGTCCTGCCTCCCCAATATGTCTTAACCACCTATCTGAATCTGCAGTATCTGTCCCTGCTTTGGATTTTGTGTTCTGTTTGTCACTTACATTTTTAACATCTCTCTTTACCCTGTTTCCCTGTGGGAGTAAACACCCCCCAGGGCAGGAACTGTTTTGTATTTCTCTACAAACTGCTGAAGAGCTAAGCAAAGTCCTCATTTACTTATAATATATAATAGTCCTCAATATGTCTATCTAGCTATACTTTTATGAATTTTTTAAGTTATTGCCAGAAGAAATTAGGTGACTTAGCAAAATATTAGTACTAGATAGAATATGAACGTTGCTCACAAGACAGTTACTGAGTCCTGTGATTTAAGTACAGGATAATGCTTACTGACTCCTACATTTTCCAAAAAGAAAATGAAAAATAAAGCAGAGGCCATTCATAAGAAAAAATTCAACAGAATGTACCAAGTCTTGATAGAACAATATTAAAAATTACAGGAAACAATTATTCAAGCCAGAAAAAGAAAGAAATAGAATCATTCCATCTTCTGTGCCTGCCAGCATTGCTAGGGAGACAGAAGGAACAAGAGACGAACATTTTACATTATCTGTGGTTACCAGGTTGTTCTTTTTGTAAAGAAAGAAACAGGAAAGGAAGAAACCCTTTTATTTCCAACCTCTCCAAGAAGACAAAACAGAAAATTTTCTCACCTAAGGAGTTTACCAATCTGCCCGTTTCAAATGACTTTAAAATAAAGCCCAGCTTCCCAGAGTGCAGCCCCTCAGCGATGGTCTGTGAGTGCAGTGGCAGAATCACACCTGCACAGAGTGGGCTGTTGACTTGCCGCTAATGCAGTAGGCAGCATTTTAGTGACTATTCTTCTTGGTAGCTTATTTTTATAACAAGGTAAAACAAGGATATCAAAGTTACAATAGGAAAAAGGAGACCTACTGTAAACAAAAATCTATAAGAGAAAAAAAGTCTAAATGACAAATGCTATAATGTTAATATAACGAGAGGTTTACCAAATATTACTTCCACAAAAATTACTAAACACATAGCACAACGCCAGCAAAACAAATAAGAACAGCAAATTTCAAATTCCACCATAAAGTCTGAGTTTATGTTAGTCTGTGTGCACTAATGTAGTCATTTATGTTTACAACTAACATCCATTCTGATTGGTTAGAACCCATGCCAGCCTGACTTGATATATTTTGTGCATCGCCCCTATTAGCACTTTGGCAGAACTGAATGTGGTAAAAACATTCAGGTCTGGCTCTGGCCATTCTGTAGGAATCTACCACAACAGAGCACCTAGCAATTCCTTTGGTCTTCCATCATCAAGAGCCACAGAAAACTGCGTAAAATATATTGGTCAACCATGACTATTTTATACAAACACAGATACAATCTTTTGAGCCCTAATAGCTTATGGTAACAAATCTTATAGAGTTTCAAAAAATATCACTACTACCATTCCTTTCTAAATAAAGCTTGCTAGAATGGGCCAACATTATAGGCAGACAACTCTATAACCATGACCTTGGATCTGCCCTTAGAATATATTCCAGATTGTCACTCCTTGGCACTGCGAACGTATCCACAACTTCCTGGCTAGTTACCATTGCAGGCAATGGTTACTTCTAAAATAGAGATTTCACACAGCTGTATTATCCAGAAATCTCTCTCTCTCTCTCTCTCCCCCATTACCATAAGAGTTACTTTATTGGATATACTTAATGGCTCTCTGGATTTGCAAGTTTGAGACTCTGAGATTTTAGCAAGAATATTCCATCATAGATCCTCAGGTCATCAATTATCTTTGATGTCAAAAGCACAGTTTAAGCACAAGGGATTATAAAACATCAGTCCCCAAAATCACCTTTGCTACTAGGGAAATGTTCCCCAGGACCACACAAGCAGCCAAGATGCTTATGAAAAGCCCTGGAGTCAAACAACTGTCTCGAGGAGAGGGATGAATATTTCTTCAATGAAAATCTACTAGAAAATTGCTTCAATAAAGGAAAAATAGGTGAACCAGTGTTAAAGTGTACGTTCTCTCTAAGTTTTAGGTCTATTTAATATGGGAAAATTGAAATGCATTTCCCCTATTGTCTTCAAGTTCCTTTGTACCACTTTTTTCTTTTCTATTTTGCTAATAGGAAAGATGAGATATCCACAGAGGATATGTTAGGACAGCCTGTTGAGACCCTGGTGTTTTCAACAGGTAAGCTTAGATTTCATTCCAACTGCTCCCAAACCTTAATTCAAATCACTAGAAAAGCATGTTATTTAAAAAGCAATTCTTAATTAAAGTTGAAAAATTTATAATGTACTTTCTCAAAACTAACTCATATGTATAACATTATAAAATAAATGTGTTGTATAAAACTGAGAAAATCTACAAAAGCATAAAAGTAAAACCAAATTGCCCATTATCCTACAACTGGGAGGCAATCATTACCAATATTTTCAAGCAAACAAATTCAAGATAAACACCTGTCTCTGCATCCTTTATATAGTCACCAAGAAAGAAATTGACCAGATCTCATTATGCAAAAACCATTTAATTGCAATATTACTGAGAGAGCACCAAACTTGGCTCTAGAAAGGAAGAATGAAGAATTGAGTTGGGAACAGTGGTATTAGTTATATTTTGCTCAAGAACATATTTATGTGATCTTAAAATAAAAATGGATTCCGGAATGACAGAAAAAGCACGCAAAATTTTTAACTTTTTCTAATATAAACTTCTCTAGTCTCATTTTTATGCTTTTTCAAATTTCCACAGGTGTTGCCAATGTCTCACTTGGGCCCTTCCCTTTTACTCCTGACGACACACTCCTCAAGGACACCAAGAGGCCTACCATCGTAAGAAGTTCTAAGAGTCACTCCAGCTCCTCACATGTTTTTTTTTTAATTCGTAAAATAGAATAAGAGAATAGATGGCTATTCAGTATTATCAGTGCTGCATTTTTATCCCTTCCATGAAGAGTCAGTGACTTCATTTTATTTAGTATTCTCACTTCGTCCCAGGAACTGAGGAGTAAAAATAGATTGAAAACTAGGGATAAGATGAGAGGAAGCAACTAAATTATAAACTCTAAGAAGGCAGGGGCTCTTCTTCCCTGGTGCACAACAGAGCATTATATACAGCAGGTGCTCACCAAGCTTTAGAATTAATTAATTAATTAATCTATCAATCATTCAGGTTCTTTCTCCACCAAAGTGTAATCTCATACTGACAAGCAGAGTAGAATTTGTGTTCTCAGTCATGTTCAGCATGAATAGGTGAGATAAATATCAAAATGATTTCAATCCTGCATGTCAAGTGAGGAAAAATAAAAACAGTATTCACAGGTACAGAGGAGCACTGGCAACCACTCTGAGTGAAAAGGCACGCAGGATGACAGAATTGCTACAGAATTTAATGTTGGTTATCAAAAACCAACAGGGGATATTTTCAACCCCTCCAAAAAGCTTGGAGCCACACTCTCAGGGCCGAAGCAGGAAATAGTCTCCTTACCCGCGAGCATTGGAGTTGCGGCCACACAAGGTAGGCAGCAGACTCAAAGGAGCAGTAGGAGACAAGTGATAGACAAACAAGACAGGACCTGGGCTCTCTCATTACTACACTGCCCCTGCAGCCAGATCTACCATCCCCTGTGGTCTGTGAGACTTCTCTAGCCCTTTCCTCTCCCTGCAAACCTCCCTCTAAGGCACAGGTCAAAGCCCAGATGGCGAGGACAGGAAGTTCGGTCTCACTAGCTCTGCATGAACATTCAGGGATGAGAACCCGGCTGGTCACTCTTTCCCTGGCCTTTAGGCCAGATGGCCACAGACTTGGTGGGACTATGCTCAGGAACAAAGAATAAAAAGGTTTTGTTTTTCTCAAAATCAATATTCTAACAACAGTGAAAAGTGCTGTTGAAAAAAAATTATTGAAATTAAACATACTCACTATAAAATTTCTAAGTCAGCTATGGTTTGCCTTCACTTTTCTCACATTACCTGTGTCCCATCTTCTTCAATATTTAATTTAAGTCCTTCACTCTGCAATAAATATCTCCTGAATGTTTTATTTCACACTCATGGCATCTGCCTCTTAAGATCCTTTTTACCAACTGAATCTATTATTTATTCTTTCATTCAGCAAACATTTAACTAAAATTCACTAGAAGATCCTGGATGAACAAGACACAGTTCCTACCCTTAACAAATTTATAATGCAGATAAGTACAACAATATAGTTTAAGTGCCGTGATTCAAGATGGCAGATGCGTGGACTGGGACAAATGACAGGCCCGGATAGGGGGCAAAGGATATGACCCCAAGTCATGTATATTCATTGAGAGTCTTATACATAAATTGACTCTTTTTTTAATTTGGGAGAGTTTGTGAAGTAGGAGAATCATGCTGAATTCAAGGAGATTATATATGGTGTGACAAGATTAGCATATTTTAAAAAAGACTCTAAGGGAATCTATCAGAGGTACCAAAGAAGCAATTCAGATGTTATTTACTGCTACAGGAGGTCAGAGGAAAGGAAACGACTTTTACCCTACACGGTCAGAGGAGTTATTACTTCTAATGAACCATGAGATAGCAGAAAGAAGTAAAAAAGGGTGTGTGTGTGCAATGGCTGGAGTTGGGCATGGGGGGCAGTGAGGAGAGTCTTTCTTAGTCAGGAGCCCGGCACAAGCAACGTGATGCCTCGGAATAGTACTCGAGCTTTCTGCTGGCCAGAGCGGGAAGAAGGGAGACAGACTAAAGCAGTTCAAGCAGGTGGACATGAGATGATGGGGAGTCTTGAATGTCAGGAAAAAGAGTCTGGGTTTTATCCCACAGGTAGTTAGGGAGTCACTGAGGGTGCTGGGGGCGAGGCATGAAAAATTAATCCAGTGGTTAAGGGTAAGCTGTGAAATTTCTCTGTAATGTAGCTAAAGGATTTATTTAAATGTCCCTTGGGAACTTCAGGTCTGCCTAATGAAGTGGTAAACTCCTAGAGGATAATAGCACATGCCGTACCTTCAACGTCCCATAGGTCTTAGCACTGTGCTATACCCATACAGATGCTCATGTGTATTATTTGAGTGAAAAAAATGAGCAAATGAATACAAACCTTTCCGTTAATCAAATTTTAGTAGCCCCGTAAGTGTGAATCCGCATCTTCCATGTGTCCTGTTAAAGTTACGGGCTGTTCTGCTGTTCACTGCCCATGGGAGAGAGGAGTTTGTGTTAAGAAATGAGGAGAAACTACATCAGCTACCACCCAGATGAGTGTTGCCTCTCATGGCATTTTCCATTGGTTATGCTTGTCTCTTGGCTTTCATAACTCTAATATCACTGTAAGACACTGTGTTCATTACCAGAGAAAGTTGATTTTCCATAGAAATGTTTTTTACTCTTTTGAGAAAGCTATGCAGATCTCAGGATCATCTGGGTACCCAATGCTAAAAATTTGTCAAACCCAGGTCTAAAACACAGCTCCAGGTTTGCTCTGAGCCCTTGGAGCCCACAGGAATTGAGAACAATGCAAGGTTCCTGCTTAACCTCAAAACAAAGGACAAAAGGGATGACCACTCCCACATTGCATCAAAGGCTGAATCCTGGTCCTCAGAACAGTACTGCTATTTTTAGCCATGTTCTTCCAAAGGCAGCCCAAATATGCCATTCCTTCGGAGAGAAATTTCAAACCCTTTCTTGATCTGACAGTGCCTTCTAACAAGTTTCATTGTAAAATTAAGAACAAATGGTTTTATTAAACCAGTCTAGACTCTTCTCTAAAAAAGGAATATATCAAGTAAAATCTCAGCATCCATAGGTTATTTTGTCTGATCTAATCCTCATCAAAGAGTATTTATAAAGTTGCACATATACATGGCACAATCCTAGTAAAGTTCCAGTAATATATATAAATTATGTGTGTGAGTATGTTTGTGTAAATGCCTTCATGAAGAGCACGCACTTGTAAAATGACAGTGTATCAAAGATTCTAAATAGTTAATTCACTGGAGTTTTGATATTTTGTCACTCCATTAAATCCATAGGTTACCTCTAGTTAATAGGACTTTTATTCTAAGAACACTAGAACCTTCATAATTCACTTCTTGAGACAAAAAAAAATCTATTTATGTTATAAAATAAAACCATTTGCATGTGGTTTATATTAATAGAAGACCTTTTTAACTTAGGAAAGAGAGAGAGAATTCTCCGTGGAAGCCGAGGGTCCCCTGGAGCAGAAGGTGGAACTGAGCATCTCCCTGGCAGACCAGAAGTTTGAGGCAGAGCTCGCTGACTCCCAGTCCCCCCACTACCAAGAGCTAGTGTCAAAGTCTCGACTTCAGGTGAGTGAACAAGACCCCCACAACCACAGCCCACATCTAGACTCTCAGTCTGAGAAATAAGAAATAAACCCTGCTGGCTAATAGTTCCAACCTCTTGTGACCAGGCATTCAGTTTTAACCATTAAAAAAAAATTAAAAACTGCAATGGGTCCCAAAATTCTAGAAAAAGTAGATCTCTAGGAAAGTTTTCCATTCCAGCTTTTTCATCTTCAAAGTCATTTACAGTTAGATTTTCTTAGAGTCACTAAGTAGATATTCTATATGTCTAAAATGTCCATGTAGACACCAGCTAGGGTACAGGCTAGAGTGAAATATGAATTTTCAATCTATAATACTTCATCTTACATAATATTTCCGTTTGTGCACTCTGATGCAATTTAAAGCCATGACATTTTTAAGGCAGTTATGCTGTCCATGCCATCCATCACTAAACTGCAGAGCTGTCCCAAGATGTGTCTTTCATCCCTGACTGTCCCCCTATCTGCCTCTCCCTGACTGAGTTAAAAGGCTCATCACTCCCTGCACAATAAACCCAAACTGCCACGCTGAACGCAGCACCTCTATGCCACGAGAAGACCCCTGCCTTTCTCTCCAGCCTCATCTTAACACCAGTTCCTTACCATCCCCTTCTTTCCACTCTACTGTCCAACGGTAAACACTGCTTGCACATCTTTCCTCACCACGATTTACCTGTGATGCCTCCTCCATCTGGAACACTTTTCCTTAATTTCACTTAACAAATGTCCTGAAAAATTAATCCTCCTTACCCACTCTGGGTTCAGTGCCTCTCCTCTGGGCTAACACCTGGTGCCCACTGTTGTCACAACACTGTTACTCTGTCTTAAATTATTTGTTTACAGGTCTATGGCCTTTGTTGGCTCCATTCCTTCCTCTGTGCACACCCATCACCCTTACAATGGAGAGGCTATGAGCTTCCCCTTGAGGGCAGGGACTGCTTCTTTCATCTCTGTAGCCTCACTGCCTAATACAGAGCTTTGGATGCAGTCACTGCTCAGCCCCTGACTGTAGAAATGGAATGTAAAATAGAACCCCCATGAGATGACATAACTATAAACCACATTTACAGACAGCCCAAGCAACTTATCCAGCAAGGTCAGGAAACAAACAGGCCCCTACTTCTCCCACTTGGAGAAATCAGTGCTTACCTCCTCTCAACTGGAGAAAAGGTGAGAGAAAAACACCTTTAACCTCCATCCTCTTCCTGCATCAACATTCTGTCAGTAAAATGTAGAAAATCATTTCTAACAAACTTCAAAGAGAAAGCATCAGTATGGGGTATTTATGAACCAGAAAATACTTAGATATGGATTATTAGATAGAACGAATTTTTTAAATGACCTGTTATCTTTTCTATTTGTTTTCTGAAATATTCTCTTGAGCAAATCCTTACAGAACGTGTTGGCCATAGACTGCCTCCACTCACCTGCTGTTAATTTTCTAAGCACCTAAAACAACCTGATGTAGAATAATGCAATTAAGCTATAATTTTTTAAAAATCATACTTGTAGTCTTGTTTCTGCCAAGAAAAAGCCATTAGAGTTTGCAGATTACTTCCCTGACCTTACATTTCTCATTTAGAAATTAAAAATGACCTCAAAGTCCCTTTCCAAGTCTAAAGCACTATGTATAGAAATAATATCACTGTACTGTCCTTAATGTTTTTTATATATTAACTCATTTCATTTTCACACAATCTTATAAGAAATATCATCCCTATTTTTTACAAGTGAGGACACCGAGGCGCAAGGAGGTGAATTCATATTCCCGACAATGTCACCCCTACTAACAGGCAGAACCAAGAATCCAACCTGGCCAGCCTGGTGCCAGAACCCCTGCTCTTAGCCGCTATGCTATAATTCCTGTTTTTCCCCAATATTTATCCTTATCAAATAAACATGCCCCCTCCAGCCTCTGAGATATTTATTAGCCAAAGAAGAGTATGTTTTTCTTGGTCTTGTTCCAGAGACCGATCACCCCAGTCCGGCTGGTTATCCCTTGGCACAGTCGCTGGCTTCTCAAAGGTGAAGCTCCTCTGCATGGAGCACCTGTCCTCCTCCCCCCCGGCTCTCGTGTAGTCCTGCCGCCTCAAAGCCTGCCATCAAATAACCAACCAGCCCCGCCACCGCCCGACACTTGCATTAGCGCAGTCATTTGGACCTAATCGGGAATTAATGGACGGTGCTTTGCAGTAATTTAATTCCCACAATAAACTTAATGAGCAATTTAATACAGATGTCAAAAGGAATGCTTAGTTGTTGTCTGAATGCTTTCTCCTTTGCAAACATTCATGAGAACTCAACACAGCTGCCTTTTATAGCCCCGTTAGCCTACACTTCAGCAGAATCAGGGAGGCTCCTGTGCATTTAGTGTTATTAATAAGGTTAACTGGACACTTAATTAGCAATTTAGTGGTTAGAGCTGCATGATTGGAAGGTTCCCAGAAGATTATTTAGCAGAGTTAACTGAAGGCCTTTGTCATCTCTTCCCTAGATACCTTCTGCATCCTTCTAAGCAAAGCTGATTCTTAAATCCATCACAGACAGGTTCACAAAGAGGGCACAGAACACAGCAGTAAATCCCGTCCGTCTGCTGGAGCCGCTGCCACAAGCATTCCGGGAGGACAGCACCCCCCACCCCCGGGGATGCATCCCACAGCCTATGCTAGTAGCTATGGTTTCTGCGGTAGCAGCTCTGCACTTGATTGATTGTTACCACATGTATAACAGGATCTATGGTATCCTGGACAAGAATGAGAAACCAGTAAGGATCCGAATCTTCTGCTCATTCTCAAACATTAAGTCCTAGGTGCTGTAACCGGAATGGCATGACAAATGCTTTGTGACCCCAACACCATTAGTCACAAGAGGCCAGAGCAGACCTGAAGCACAGACACAGCTCTCTCCCACCTGCCCCCAGAATAAAGACCAGCTCTGCAGAACCTAATCTCTTAGTAGCTCATGGAGGGGTGGGTAGGAGCAGAGGCACAGAAACTCACTCCCAGGCCCCCTGCTGCTGACCCTATGGGGACCCTCATCTAGTCCTTCCCCACACCTAATCTTTCAAAACAACTGGCTGAAAGCTTGCTCTGCCCCTGCTGGGCTCTGTGCAGTGTGGCCACTGGGGAAGTAAAAGAAAATGGGACTATCAAGGAGCTAGTGATCCAGTCGGAGAGATAGAGAATAGTAAATAAATAAATCAATCAATATCGCTGACTCTCTGCCTACTGTGTGTTAGGTACTTACTCATTATTCCTTATAGCAACCTTATGAGATAGGTGTTATTACCTCATTTTGGTTAAGGAGGCCAAGATTATTCAGAGAAATTAAGTAATAAACTCAAGGTCATGCAACTAGAAAGTAGCAGAAGCAATATTTAAACTCAGGTTTATACATCTATCCCGTTATCACCCAAAAGCTGAGTTATCTTCATCGCTGCAGTTACCATACACTCAGGGAAAAAGACCTATACTAAAATGGATGCAAGAAAATATAATTTAGAAAGTAAATCAGTCTGCTGAGAGAAGAAATCCATGATACACTCCGAGCCCCAATATGAGCGATTTGGGGATTATCTGTGCCTCGCCACTCTAGCCCTCGGCATAGATAATGTAGGTTTGCAGTAATGTCAGGTGCACTGCCAATGCAGCGGCATGTTGATGAGCTCAGAGAACAAGACATGCACCCAACTTGATTAAACAAAACGCACTGAGTCCCTATGTTGCAAATGGCAGTTTGCTAGGTACTGGGAGGTAAGGTGAATAAGACATAATCCCTGAGCCCAAGTGGCATAATCTCTGTGAGGGAAACATGCACCTCACAGACTGTTTTATGGAACCTACAGCAATAAGTTCTAGACCAGTAGGGGGAAGAGAAAACTGAACCTGACTTTAGGGCCCTACAAATGCTTTTCGGCAGAGAAGATATTTGAGCTGACTTTGAAAGATGGGCAGGAGACGTGAGGGGTAGCCAATGAGCAGAAAGTAGAAGTTGCATCTTGGACAAACAAGAAAAAAATGTATAGACGTCTGAAAGAAGTACGTGTTGTATTTGGGGAGAGAGGTGGTTAGTTTAATACGACTTGAAGATACAGTATTTTGGCCAAGGGAGTAAATGGCAGGAAGTGCAAATGGTAAGATACTTGGGGAGTGGAGAGTAGATTGCCAAGGGTCTTAAGTGCCATTCTACAATATTGGATTTCATTCAACAGGCAGTGCAACCCATCAAAGGATTTTTAGGGAAGAGCAGCAGATATGGAATGATTAACTTGGAAAAAATAGTAGTCAAGGAAACAGCTCCCCAATTCTCCCCACCCCAACTCATCCAAAAAACATTTCTCTTCCATTCCCCCCACATACCCAGAAAACAGTTTCAGTAATATCAGAAGGGAGAGAGGGAGGGTATGCTGGCCATGTGAATAAGAAGAATATGATGGGAACAGAAGGCATGTAGGATTCAAATGAACAGGATGTGGTGACTGGATTGAGGAGCACGAGGGAAGGTGTCTTGGGAGCCTGGGCTCCCTGGCTTGGCAGGTGATGGGGGTCATGACCCTTACTGAGAGGGAGAGCCCAGGAGGGAAGGCGGACTTGGGAGGAAAAGAGTGACTTGGCTTTGGCATATTTAATTAGTGGCAAAATTGGGATATTCATGTGGAGAACTCAAAACTGTGTCTCAAGTGATCACTGAAGCCATGGGAGAAATGAGATTCCCAACGAGAGGCAGAGGGAAGTGGGCACAAGGAAGGCAGGACAAGGCCAGGGTGGAGTCTTTGTTCACGTCTTCAGCCTCCCTCCCTTTCACCCTGCTCTCCCTCCCACGCCTCCTCACTGCTGAACTACCACCTTTTCCTCTTGGATTTGTTTGCCTCCCACACTTCATACAAGTAAGTTGGGTGGGCAGTGCCTGTCCATCTATACAGCAGTGTGTCCCTAGAGCCCAGCACAGAGCCCACGGTCAGACTTACCAAATAAAGAGGAAAGTGGGTGGGATGAAGGGGCTGAGGACCCAAACTTGCAGAATCCTTACAGTGAAGACAGGAATAGGATAAAGACTGAGAGAGCGGTCAGAGAAATGGAGAAAGGACCAGAAAAAAGGCAGGGAAAGCATGGAGAAAGAAATAAAAATGCCCTTGGATTTGAAGAGAGCTGAGAGACAATGGCCTGGAGGGAACCCTCCCCCCTTGGGGAACCCAGGAGCAGAATCCAGACGGGAGTAGGTGGGAAGTAATTGAGGATAACAGTTGTGAAATATTCTGATAAAATGCCTCATTAGCAAGGTAAACTTAAGGAACTTTATTGTAAAGTTTACATAAATCTAAGAGCCACTGTAATGTAATATATTGGATTAGAATCTGCTTTAAACATTTTATTTAGGCACAGCAGCCATTTTGACTTTAATAATTTTTTTAACACCGTAGATATTTCCAAATTGTGCAATTCAGTTCAGAAAATATTATAACTATTCCGTGTGTATAAATAAAGAACCCATAACCAAAAAAACTTGTTCCAAGTACCATCTTAAAGTTATTTCATACTTTATGAAATAACCTTTAAAACAAATCAGAACTACCCTATTACAGGTTTACAACTTTTAAATAAATAGCAAAACACTCTCCTTTAGGTCTCAGAAATGACTAAGAATAAACCTGGCCTCAATCACTGTATCTATTCTCCACTTTTCCCCTAAATCATCAAAAGTCTTTAGGCTCTTACAGTTAGATAAGACCTTACCCAGTAGAATCAAGAGTATTTCATAAATTTTTTTCTCTCTACAGATGCAAAAGGTATTTAAGAAACTTCCAGGATTCAAAGAAATTCATGTGCTAGGATTTGGGTAAGTAAGAGAATTGGACTCTTCTCAATTTTTACATTACTTGCTTTCCATTCTCTTTTAAAAATGATGTCATGCAGATTATAACACCCCCATTCCCCCAATTATTTAGCTCTGCCAAATCCCCAAAGCTGACTACATCTCAGATAAGGGAATTGTTTCCTTAGAACCCAACTGTGGGTGGCTTTGGAAGGGCACCGCTGGGGCTGCGCGCCTTCCTCCCTCCGGGGGCAGGAGCACAGCACTCTCAGGGAGCTCATTGCCGTCCTTGGCAATGTTCTTGGCAAACCTCTTAGACAAATACCTCAGTATAGACAAATCAAAAAACCTATCAATTAGTTAGTTACCTTGGTGTCTGATTGCTTAGTTTCCTATCAATGCTAAATATCTTCTTGTTTAAATAAGTCAAGTTGACCCTAAAGAGCCAGGTGAAACTGTGAGGCTGAGGGGCTGGAGGAGTGGGGTGGACAGAGACAATGATATCCAAACCACAGTAATATGTTACCACAGAAAAGCTAGTGGATGAAACTTTTAAGAAAAGAAAGGAAACTATCAAACAGTGCCACACTACAGCAGGGTTTGATGGTGTTTTCTTAGCAGGCCTATATCCTCCAGCATCTCGACATTCTAATAGACGTTCATTAAGTTTTGGCAAAATTTTTTGCATCTTTAAGTTCTCATTATTCAAAACATCTACAAGTAGGATCATAATATATTTTTTCAATGCTCCGTGGGGTAAACGTCAGCCCTGGTGTGACAGACTGTGATTCTGTGCCCCAAGGGGGGTTTGTCAAGTGGGTGAAGCAGGAGCCCTTCCTGGCCTTTGCTGTCTGGTGTCTGATGGCAGAAAGGCGGGCAGAGCCAGGCCTCCGCCCTCACAAAGGGCGCTTCCCGGGGGTCCCCCAGGTTACTTCTCTTGAAGCTGCCCAGCCTCTTTAATTTGTATAATTCTGGAGGAAGGAAACATTGGGAAGTGAAAGTTATAGAAGATGAAACCCTTAATATTTACCAAAACAGACTCATTTTTCTTTGTTTCGAGATGCTGCTCCACAGTATTTCATATGAAATCAGATGGATTAGAGAGAAATAAAAGATGATAGGAGAATATTCTGCATAGATGGCAAGGTCTTCTGGATAAATCACTGCAGCTGAAGAACAAATTGTTAATTTAAAGCTGAAGGAAATGATAGGAACAGGGTTTTTTTGGTGAATGCTCAATTGCTCGTTATTCCCTCCTTTCAAACAAATGGAAAACTAAAAGTGAAAAATGTAAATTACAGAAGAAAATTAAAACGTTAGCTTGATTAAATCTCGTAAGGTAAAAATTTCAAAGATATATCTCTTGAAGCTGTAATTTTTTTCATGTGTTTATCTCTGCAAGAATTTGTTCTTATTTCTGCCACTATGCTTTAAAGTAAATTTGATCGCATTTTCCCAATGATTTCTATTATGCAATAAACAATTTAGTCTCTCCCCAAAATGTGACCCAAATACAATAAATGATATGCTGTATCACAAACTTTTAATCGTTAAGAACAATGCTCAGAATATTGTAAAGCAAGCTCACTATAAAGAAAATTGCTTTCTCATGAGCCAGACTCCACAAAAGACCTAAAATCTTATATGTCTCCTGGTATGGCCTTTTTTTCAGCTCATTTGTATAAAACCTGACCTATAATTAAATAAGTACTTTTATATCAGTGACCTCATTTGACTCTCTCAATACAACTGGAAAGCATTATTAATACAGTTATAAGGATGATCAGTAAAAGATTCAATTTAAATATTACATTATCTCTTAAAATACATACGGGAAACTATTAACAATCATTCAGGCTAGGTGGAGGGTATACTCCCCCAAAGACTTGTACACAAATGTCCACAGCAGCTTTATTTTTAATAGCCAAGAACTGGAAACAACCCAAATGTCCATCAACAGAGCAATAAATAAGCAAATTGTGGCATATTCTTACCATAAACTATGACTCAGCAAAGGAACTACTGGAATACACAACATGAATTGGCCTCAAAATACTTAAGTTGAAAGATATCAGGCAAAAGGAAGTACATTACAGTTTCACTTACATTTAACGCTAAAAAATGGAAACTTATCTATAGTGACAGAAACCAGATCAGTAGTTGCTTGGGGAGGATGAGGCAGAGAAGGATGGGAGGGCAAGAGTACACAGGGGTATAAGTGAGTCTCTGGGTGATAAAATGTGCTATCTTGATTGCCACAATTATCACACTGGCATGTAGTAGTGTCAACCTTAAAATTGTATGTCTTCAACATGTGAGGTCTGTTTCATTATAATTATACTTCAATAAAGCAATTTTAACTTTAACTTACTGATTTTAGAGCTAGAAAGATAGAGAGAAACATCGATTTGTTGTTCTACTTATGTATGTATTTACTGGTTGATTCTTGCATATGCCCTGACTGAAGATCAAACCCACAACCTTGGCACATGGGAGGACATTCCAACCAACCAAGCTATCCAGCCAAGGTCTCAATAAAGCAATTTAAAAAAATGAGCGGGACAAGGGTCTTGGCAGAGGAAGCTTGGCCTCTCTCAGGAGCGTCATGGATTACAAACTATAACCAAAAGCAAACAAGAGGCCAGTCCTGGGTCAACATCTGGTTGATGCAGAAGAAAGTCCCTCCCCTCAGGGCATCCCAGTGAGATAGTCATAAATTCTCTCTTGTGTCCACATAAGGAAAGTAGTAGCAGAGTCCATTCAGTCATGTTCCATCAAGAGGGGAAAGCGAGATGAAAGCAACATGAACCCCCATCACATGTAGGGTGTCTTTGTTGGCAACTCTCATCTGCAATGAAAACACTGAATATAGCTTCTAAATTAAATTCGCATATATCCAGAAAATTCCAAAATGTATTTGTCAGTTTGAAGACTAAATGGTCTATTTTCCAGGCATGAGCTGGTAGTGGTGTTGGCAACTGAGTGCAGGCCAAAGTCAGGAGGGCCAAGGTCAGGAGGGCCAGGGTCTGAATCCTGGCTCTGCAACTTGCCAACTGACAGCACTCCCTCTCTCTGCCTGTTCTCTCCTCTGTGAAATGGGGGCTGATGGTACTGTTGAAGAGGTTAAATGAGGATGCCTGCGAACTCCCTGGTGCAGACCACCCACCCTGTTTACAGGTGTTTATTTTTCTTGCAACCAGTTCCTGGTGAATTGTACCATTCTCTCAAGGCTTACTGATTACAGCAATTAAAAAAACAACCAGTCAACAAAACAACAGCCCCAGCGTCCAGCCTCAGATACATTATCTTTAGAATTTAATCATTTAATGCTATTAACAGGCAAGAAATTCATTTATAAAATATGTTTTAAAAACTTCCTGGCACTAGCACAATTTAAAATGTTAGATGTATAGGCTGTATTTGCTGTCTCTTTAGGAAAAATATGAGGAACTCAAAAAGTTTAGAACCAAAAGTACAAATAATTTTTGAACTGAAGTTAATATTTTAATGAGAAACATCATATAATTGTGTTTACTTTCTGAGATTTATACAGTGCTTAAATTTTTCATTCAAATTCTGATGATAGTTTGTATGTTTCCATCAAAGTTCTGGGCAAATATGAAAAATAAAAGAAAGAATTTTTGGGGTATATGAAGTGATACATTGAATGTCTCAATAAATTTCATAAAAATTCTTTCTTCTTTGCATGTTACCATTGTGCATGATGAAACCAAGACCCAAGAAAGAAAGAGATGGGTAATTTATTTAGATTTTTATTTTAATGTTTTAAAATATAGTACATTTTCCCCCATAACTTTATATGGTGAACTTTTACAAATAATTTTACATATAAAGTCTGGGATAACTCATTGACCTTTTAATGATTTCCTATGTAAGTGGATGTAACTAACCCATTATTTAGTAGTAGGGGGAAAACTCTGGAATCAAAATCACTGCCTGAGATAAACAGATAAACAATGACTGGATCTGCAAACGAGTAACTATAAAACTCAAAATCCCATTAGAAAAACATAAAGGCACAAACCTGTGATGCAAGAATGCTTTCACAAAAATGTCATTTATGATGGGAAGTTGTCTGCCTGAATGTATACTCATATATGCAGCCAACCTGTCTGGGTTAAAGCAGAGAAACTAATTTGCTCCTTGGTTTCAAGGTTAGTTTGACTTGGGAAATGGCCCACTGTACCCTAGAAAACTCAGTAATAAGGATCCAGCTTTGGATCCTATAACTGACTAGAGAAACAATGAACTATAGACTTTGATTGTACAGCCCGAAGAACTGCCAAGGACACACGTCATCAGTTCCTGTGGACTTTAAGGCACTTTGCATCCCTCTGTGTGGATTTAACGGCATACACAAGAAAGTAAAACCTGATCCTACAGGACATAGCTGCAGAGAATTCTATTGTGTTTTATCATGCAAAAAGTCACTGAGTCATTAAATATGATAATGAATATTGTTAATCACATGTTCTTTCCCTTTCTCCTTTCTCACACCTTCCAAGATGTTATTTTTAAAGCAGCTTGGTAAAAAGATTGTTATGTTTAATTTAGACATTTTTTTTTTTTATTTAAAAATACTCCTTGAAAAAGTGGAAGAGAAATAGCCCTAAGAACTGAAGCTTTGAACCAGTAACAACACGGACACACTACTGTGGCCCCACCGCTATGTCCTACATTGCTACTTCACATTTTAAAGGAAGCTAATTGTAGAAAAAAGGGCAGTTCATCCTTCTTGCTGACTGGCACTGCATGACTTTACTTATAAGACCATCAAAAACACTGGTCAATAACAGCAACTCTTGACAATTAACACTTTTTCACAAAGACCTAAAGTAAAAATCTATAGTCACTTGATTCAGTTAGTAGTGCCTCTTCAAGGCAGACTTAACTCCCCTCCTGACATTCTGATTCAGAACTAAAATATATGTCAATTCTTAGTCACACTTCAAATTTTTGATGAACATTGAGACTTTGAAATGGGACATTCTTTGCCCATCAGGAAAGAGGGTGAAGCTGTCCTGCAGCTTCGTAACAACATAGTAACTCTCTTTCCAAGGCACATTAACAATGGCTCTGAGTGTGATGTGTCCTCTGCTTCTACAGTTCCAGCTCCACAGAGGTGCGACTTATGGCCATCTTTACAAGAGACATTGCAGAAGCAAAAGGTCCTGCAAGTGATCTGCTGTTCTCTGATTCAAACAAAATTGAAAGTGAAAGAGTCCTTCATGGAATGATGGAGGAGGACAAGCAACCAGAAACCTATCTCACAACTTTAGACCTCAAAAAGCTGATCAGCAGAGCCCTACAGGAAGACAAATCTTTGCATCTGGGGACAATTCAGTTCACTGATGGTCAGTTGGTAATTTCATAGTTCCAGGTTTGTCCTCATTCTGAAAGACAGACTACAAGTTGTGAATGTATCATGGTCATTGTCATTTTAATTGAGCCTTGTAGAGGCAATCATTTCTGTGACAGGCACACCATGGATAGTACCGTTTCTGTCAGTTTCCTCAATCCAACCTGTATGTCATTTGATGAACCTTTGTAACCACTTTGCACCAAGAATAGCTCTAGGAGAAGCCAAGAATTTCAGTTACGTCCAGCTCAACCACATCATGAAGTAGAACCCAGGGAAAGAGAAGAACCCCTGGACGATTTTCTTCCCCTGGAAAAACCCAGATTCCCTGGTCTGGTAAATTGGTCAGGTCTCAGAAGGATAGAGATGGCACATTCAAATTACAATAATTTAAGATGAGTTTGATAAAGAGACTATTTATAAAGTTTTCCATAATGCCCAAAGAAAGAGGACAGTTCCCTGGGGCTAGAAGCAGTAAGATTCTATTCCTCCTCTAGGCCTGAAGGGTTGCCTAAAACCCCAAGCCATCCCAAGACAGAGGGCAAGCAATCACTGACATAGTCCATATAAGTCAACTTCCTGGGGCAGAAAGTAGTGAGGAGAGAAGAGGAGAGAGGATCTAAAGAAGTCAATGAGATAATCAGGCACACAAAGTCTTCAGTGGCTGTCTGGAATGGAACTCCTTCTGGAGTTCCTACTGGAACTAGTAGGCCCAGTATCCCTGGCCAAATAGATAGACAACAGAAATGACACTTCAGTATGACATGGCACAAAACTGACATTCTCTGCCAGTTCTGTCTCTCTGGTTTAGACAGTCAAACTGGACACTGAGAAACTCTACAAAGATCTCTTGGTACTGTATAAGCAGGGCAATAGAATCTACTGGGCAAGAAAAGGTGAACTTCAGACTCATCTCAGAGATCCTCTGGTACTATGGGTTTGTCTTTTTGTTGAACTGTCTGAGGTGTTCTGAGTATCAGGCTTTGGGTTGAAAGGAGGACTCTGCGAATGATTCTTAGTTCCAGTGTTTATCCCAGCCATTTATTTCTTTGTCAGTTCAGTTGTTTTCGTCCTTACTGGCCTTGCCAATCAGCCTGTCTACTTAGTCCAAATCTGTACAATAAAACTAAACACCTTAAAAACCCACCTTAATTACTCTTCTCATCACATAAACATACAAGATACATGCCTCGCATCTGTCAATTTACCACTCAGATCAATGACCATTAGCTTATGTGATGCTGACTTCTTAATGTCTATTATACCACTCCTTAAGAACTTCTTATTGCTACATTTCCAGCCCTAACCGCTTTCCTGCCCCAAGCACAAAAGGAAAAGGGAAAATAAAGAAACACTCAAACCTTGTGATTTTTCATCCACAGAAATTGTTGGTTCATCGCCTGGCTCTGCTCCCAGCACCCAGTCAGTGATGCCTGCTCTCTTTGCTGATATCACAACGGTGAGCTTGTTGTCCTTTTGTTCTTCAAATAAAAACAAAACCTCAAAAAATTCCACCAAAAATCAACTTAAAGACTGAACAGGGCAAACTCTCCTCTGCAGTACCAGTTACTGCTTTTTACAAGCAGTCCTTGGTTTCCCACTTTCAGTATCATTACTCATAAAATATAAAATACCTTGCATTTTAAATATCCTAAAATTCAAAGTTTCCTTACATGTAGTAAGATCTTTGTTTCAACTAAAAAATTGTATCTGTTTTTGATAAAATAAACACATGTTCATGTACTGAAAAGAAACTTAATGCAGAATATATTATTTAAATTTGACTTCCGGAAGTAAATATAAACATCAACATAATTTGTAAGTTAGTTCTTAAGTATTAAGGTCTTATGTATATATTTATTTATAGGGATCTCATAAGTATAATATCTTATGAAGTAAAAATAATAAATTTAGTGATAGTTTTTATATTTCATTTAAAGCTATGTTCATTTAATTTATGCCAAAAGTTGTTACTGCAGCACGTAAGTGGAAGCACCAACTAAGCTCTATTCCCTCTGTAAACAAACAATTCATAAATTCAAACATGACTGACATAATTCAAAGTATTTCCATTGAGTTAACCCTGCACAGAGAGACAATTAGCCAAGGAGCCATTAGCTGGTATTTTACTACTGTATCAATGCATGCATTCTGTTCAGGACACATTTCTGTACCAGAACCTATATCAAAATCCATAGTAGATTCAAATCAACTAAAAAAATGTTTAAATTTAAATGAAAAGGAAGGTATAGATTGCAGCCCTTCTCATACACAGAAAAATGACACTTCTCAACATCTGTCTTTCTGTGTTCACTTTTCAGGATGCTACTTTGAGTCCAGAACTTGCTCTTGGTCAACCCGGGCTTGGTACACTGGGCAGAGAAGGACACAGTCTACCTGGTGAGTTTTTTCTTCCCTCAAAGTCTATGCTAGATAACAACATCCTCTCAGGAAACAACTTATGACACTCCTCAAAGACCAGTGATGAAGTCCTCCTTGACCCAGGAGAAGGTTTTCGCACACCAGCGTTGCCAACAGAAAGCAGTCCACTGAAACACTCTCTTCTGAAGAGGAGGACACCCTCGGTGTCCGTCCCTCAGCTCTGGTCCCCAGGATCACAGAGAGCACTCACAGCCCCTCCTGGTTGACCTGAGAAAGAAGCTCCAGCCAAAGGAGCTCCAACTGCTGCCCACACAGAACATCCATCTCTCCTGGGCTTCCAAGCTGAGAGCCCACCAGGACAAGGGAGGTCATAAGGCCCAAGTTCACAACAGGGGACTATGGCAGCAGAGGATTAGGCCTTTACAGTCAGTTGATGTGTTCCCATTTGCCACCTACAGGCTGACCACTCATTGATACTGTCTGTGCTGCCACGTGTGTCTCGTTAGTATTAATTAGGTCATGTATAATTGATCGATAAGGGTGTCAGTGAACATCGAAGTCCTCCTGGTTTACTTCTGAATTCATGAAAATGTTTATTTTTGAGGCAATGGGGCCAAACGGTCTCTCAATTAAAGAGAAATCTTTAGTAATATATGAAGACCTTACCAAAAAATACTGAAAATTCTGAAAAAAAGTCTATTTGGTGCAAGAAGTAGCTGATTTAGTGGCTTTAAGAACTCCTTTGCTTTCCACCCACGATGGTTGTCTGGTGAAACCATTAGTAAAAACGTCTTTAAGGAAACACGAACCCCAGGATACAAGGTGGATGAGGATACATTGTGATTCTAAGTGCAAATGCTACTGGAGACTTTTTATGGCTGATGTTTTTATAGAATTGTTACTGTTTTACTTAGGGTTCTTCCTTTGAAATACTACAGGTTTTGAATGGTCCATCTCAATCCTATTTTCCTCATAAACCCTGTACACAATTAGTATTCAATTTTATGGAATACTAGGTTTTTCACAAATACATTTAAGGTATGTTAGCAGAGCCACTTATAGCAATTATATTTGGCTTACATGATTACCAGTGAATAAATGTTAACCAACATTTATTACAAACCAACCCTGAAGTTAGTGGCTTAAAACAACAATAATTTATTTTTTCCGTAAATCAGAAAATTGGGCAAGGACCAATGGGGACAGCTCTTCTTTGCCCCATGTAACGGAAGCCAGAGTATCTCAACTGGTGTTAAAGATCTTTTTCCGAGACAGTCCACTTATGTAGTGGACAAATCAGGGCTCAACCAGAGCTGTTAGCTGGGGTGTCATTTCTGCGCTAGGTAGGCCTCTCCAACAGCTTCCTCGGGGCACAATGCTGGATGCAGAGAGTCAGGACTGCCAGAGACAGGCGGAGGAAGGGCCGAGAAACAGGGTCACTTCCTCACTTTCTAGTGGCAAGGCAGCCATGAAGCCCACATTGGGTTCAAGAGGAGGGAGGAGAGAATTTGCCTCTTGCTGGAAGAGGTGTCAAAGAAATTATGGTCACTTATAATCAATCACAGTCTACAACAACCACTATTTTGACTTTTAAATCATGAAAGTTAGTTGGCCAAAACAAAACTAATCTTTTGGTGAAATGATTGATATTAAATACTCACTGGATATCATAATGATTTATCATAAAACATTATAAGATCAGCGTTTCAGGCAGATTAGTAAAAATAATAGCATAACTATGATGAAAGTATTACTGTATTTTCAAAATTGCTATACTGTTCTAATTTTGTTTGTACATCCCTTCCCTTCATGAATATACCATAGAGATAATCCAGTCAAGTGTGTTTCACAGATAAGAAAGCCAGGCCTAGACGTGAAATGCCTTATCGAGGCCGCACTATAGTGGTTTGCAAACCAGGACCACCGTTCACGTTTCCTCCACCTGTTACACTGTGCTTCACTTAAGTAGCTGCATCGTTAAAAAGTACATATTCCCTCAAACGTGCTCTGCCCTCAGACCCAGCCTCTTCTTTCTCTATTTCATTATGCTGTCTTTTTTTTTTAATAGCCTAGCCTTGTGGGTCTTTACCATCTTACCTCCTAATCACCACAAGGTTTCACTTCTAATCACAGATTACAGGAACCCAATTTTCACAAATGGCTTCCTAATTAATCAATCTAACAACCTCATTTCCAACTGTATTTTACTTGACCTTTCTGGTGTGTAGCTCTTGTTAACCACCCCCTTCTTGAAACTCTTCAATCTGGTTCTCACAAAATGACTTCTTGGTTCTCCCATTCCCTGATTGCTCCTCCTCAATCTCCTGCCCTGGGGCTTGTCACTAGTTTTTTTTTTCCAATAATTTGTTAATTAAAATCCTACCTAATTTCAAAGTAAAAATTGTGATGATTTATACACATGCATAAAATACAATAAGATCTTTTAATTTTAAGAATTCAAAGAAAATAGCCCTGGCTGGTGTGGCTCAGTTGATTGGGCATCATTCTGCAAACTAAAAGCTCTCAGGTTTGATTCCTGGTCAGGACATGTGCCTGGGTTGAAGGTTTGATTCCTGGTCAGGGTGCATGCAGGAGGCAGACCGATTGATGTTCCTCTCTCACACTGATGTTTCTCTCTCTCTCTTTGCCCCACCTTACCCACTTTCTAGAATCAATAAAATTTAAAAAATTACTTTTATAATTTTATTTATTTATTTTTAGAGAGATGAGAAGGGAAAGAAAAAGAGAGGGAGAAAAACACTGATGTGTGAGATACATTGACTGGTTTCCTCTCACACACGCCCCTAACTGGGGACCTGGCCCACAACCCAGGCATGTGCCCTGACCAGGAATGGAACCAGCAACCCTTTGGTTCATAGGCTAGTGCTCAATCCACTGAGCCACACCAGCCAGGGAAGAAAAGAAAAATTATTTTAAAGACTTGAAAGAAAATGGAAGAAAAAAAAAACAAAAATAAGTTAGGTGACTTAGGGTAATGAAAAAGTTTTAGAGCTACCTATAGATAGATGGTAACTGTACAACATTATGAATTTAACTAATTTATAATTACTGAATAGGTGACTTTAAAATGGCTAATTTTATGTTACATTTCATCTTGATATGTCCTTTTTAAAAATCAAATAGCTCTGTGGGGAAACTTGTGTACAAAATAATCATAAAGCTATTTAAATTTGCTTTAGGTGGTTCATGAATCTGGCTTTGAGCTTCTTAGCAGACTATGCAGTGAGGAAAATAGGAGTCACGTAATTTAGAATCTGCATGCTTTCAACAGGGTAATTGCTTAAGAGAAAGAATTTCTCCTATGAGTCCTCATATGGAGGAGAGTCTGGGTTATAGTGAGCCGTGCCCTGCCTGCATCAACCTCCCTAGTGTATAAAATCAGTGCCAGGTGTTTTCTTTAAGGCACTCATGAGAAATGAATGCATAATGAATGCCAGAGCCCAGTTTAGAGCAGTTCTCCGAGGGGCTGCATTTTGGCAGTCCACCTTAATTCAAGGATCGATTTTAGAGTATCTAAAGGAATGAATGTGCTGCATAACCTCCAGTCAATGCTCTATAAATATTGTATCTTATAACTGAGTTTTTGATTAGTATTGACCAAGAAGCACTATATTTGCTGACATGAGCCTGGTGTGCAAATATTCTGTTGCCAATTAAAGGCAGATTCATATGCTTTCATGATCAGCCCAGTTGGGGATAGAAATGAGATATTTTAGTGAAAAATGAAGACCCTAACTAGGAAAAATTTTTCAATAAAAAGGCCTTCCATTTATATACATGGAAATGGGAGAAGGGAGAGTACTGTAGACAAGATTGAGCTTCACTCCCATATAAACACAGTCTGGGTCTCCCCAATGCACAGGGAGAGGACAGATAGAACTCCAATGTTCTGCACCATGGAATCGCTGAGATAATTTTAGCCTGAAAAATTTTTAAGGTTTCTGTCACCAAACACCCACCAAGCCATTAAGATCTCAGTAAAGTACTCACAGAAATCTCTGAGCTTAAGCAGTTTAATGTAGTAGTTAATCCCCTGAGAAAAAGTACTTGTAAAATATGCCTCTAGAACACTAAATGAATTGGTACATTGTACAGAATTCTGAGGTCTTCTATTATTAATATTTCAGGGCAGTTTGACCCAAGCCATTCTTTCTCAAAGAGCCAGTTCTCTATTAAAATTACTTGTATTTCATATAAATGAGAGTCATAAACATATAGGAGAAACTCAACAATCCGTCCTCCATGTAGCATGCATCCAATTTGTTCAAAAATAGTATGAAATCATTAGAATAGAAAATTTTGTTTTGTTTTAGTTCAGTTAGGTTTGGTTTAGGTGTGTGTAGACAGCAGTACATTTTTCTTTTTGTTCATTAGATGATCATCTGATCTATCAAAAGAGAAGCTCTTTAGTGTTCTTTCTCCCAAATTACAGACTTTTTCACTTGCTAGACATCCCATTTAAGATGTCAGCCTTAATGAATTGTAATATTTTAAATGGAAAAGCAAATCTTGGCAGAACTATTCTGTTGTCCAACATTGTTTTGTCTTTTATTCCCCTATGTTAGTCTGGGTTCCCCAGAGAAACAGGACCCACAGATTTTCTACATATATAAAGAGATTTAAGATAGGGAATTGGCTCTCATGGTTAGGGAGGCTGAGGCCTCCCAAGATCTTTAGTCAGCAAGCGGGAGACTCAGGAGAGCCAATTTCGTCCTTCCAAATTCAGTCCAAGTTCTGGTCCAAAGGCAGGAAAAGATCAAGTCCCAGATCAAAGACAAAGTCAGACAAAGATTCCCAGTAAGACAAAGAGATTGAATTCTCCATTACTCAGCCTTTTTTGTCCTATTCAGGCCTCCAACAGACTAGATGAGGGCCATCCACACAGAAGAGGGAAACCTACTTTACTCAGTCTCCACATTCAAACGTTAATCTCATCCAGAAACACCCCAACAGACATGCAAAGAATATTTAAGCAAATATCTGGGCACTCCATGACC